CCCCTCCCCGCGGACCCCCCGCGGATCCCCCTGCCCCTCACCCCCCCTCGTAGCCCCATGGAGTAGAACCGGCCTTATACATCTACTGACACCGACTCGTGACAATGCTGTGTCGTCTAATGACCCGATTTTCAGCCTGGGGCTTCCAATCGAGCCTTGTCGCCTTCGACTCCGTCTGCCCTTGATGTCGGTGGCTGCCACATGCTGCCATGACCAAGGTTTCCAGCAGGCACCGCGTGGAGGAGGAGGAAGACTTGACCGTGAGAGGCTTTGAGTACGCATCTGCAGTCCTGTGTCCCTACTCACCAAGCTGTTGGTGCACTACCGTTACGAACCACTAGAGCTTGCGGCATATTTGGTAGCCTACAGCGGCGTTGCTTTGGCCTAAGTCACGGACCGCAAAGCGGCGGGCCTGTTTTCGGACATTTGACAAATGTTGGTTTTGTGCCATGCTGGCAACAGTTCTTTACTATACTTGTTATGGTGCAGGCCCGAACCATTTTGGCTCTTCACTGAAGAAGTCACTCAAAATGTCCAGGCACTGCCCGAGCCATTTGGCACTTCACTTAAGAAGCCGCTCAAAATGTCCAAGCATAACCAGGGGCACTTGGCGTTTCACTGAAGAAACCGCAAGGTAACCAAACATAACCCGAGCCACCTGATGCTTCATTGAAAAAGCCCGCCAAAAATGGCCAGGCATGGGGTCACTCCGTGGTGCCATAGCGCTCCCGCCCGGATTGTGTGTGGCGCTACACAACCCTAAGCGTTCACGCTCTTAGGCCATCTCCCACAAGTGAATCCGATCGGGTCGATGTCGTTAGCCCCGCGGCGTGCGCTACGACCCTTCGTTGAGGGTCACGCCAAGGAATTTCGAGTCTGTACACTAAGTGCACTCCCGGACCAGCTTCACGTGCACGCCTGGAGACGGCCAGTTAACAGAGAACTTTCGAATATACATTCGGGCGAGCAGGCGAGCTCGAGCACCAGAACATTCCGAGGTCTCCGCCACCATTTATTAGTATATTTATATTTATGCCTGGGGTGGGACAACCCCTAGCTTTCTCACTACCCATCATTTTGCACTACCCACCTGTAACATTTGTCGTGTCTTTGCAAGCCTCAGCTTTGGGGTTCGTCCCCGACCCCGGGCCCAGAGAATCCATTGTCGTGCCTAGGCACCACGTATGGAGATCAAGGGCCCAGGAGGAACGACCACCTCGGGGAGTGTTGGACATCCCCGCCAGATAAAGAGAACAGTAAGCGATCATCGTGTTGCGCAGGTGAGTGCGAGAGCACCGCCACAAACAAACCTAAAACTAATTACTCTGCCAATAGAAGAAGCCAAGAAGGGCAAGACGCATTTTCTGTTAGATACGGGCGCGACTCTCACTTTCGTGAAGATCGGAAATCTGAAAGATGAGGTACGTATGAAAGGAAAGCGAATCGCTTTAACGGGAGTAACAGGGCATAAAATGCATACCTTGGGAAAAATCCGAGCGACGATCCCGATAGGAAAGCAGAAGATACGTCATACGATTTATGTAGTAAAGGATGATTTTCCGATAGAATATGAAGGAATCCTCGGAATTGATTTTTTAGAGAAACAAAGAGCAAAATGCGATCATGGGAAAAAACAAGTAAAAATCGGAGGAGTAGAATTCCGATTACGCCCATATGAGAAATTAACATTGCAGCCGCGAAGCGAAACAATAATTAGAGCTGTGGCTGACCGAAGTCAAATAGGCGTAATACGTTCCGAAGAAACGGAACCGGGAGTCTTTATAGGATGCTGTTTAGTGCGGCCAAAAAAGAATGAATGCCCCGTGAGTGTAATCAACACCACGGAAGAGCAAGTCGAGATAACGACACCGCTTGTCACTATCGAGGAAGTAGGAACAAGCGATTCTCGAGCGAACCGTATACACGTTCGCTCGAAAATCAGCTGACGCGGAGGAAGATCTACCCTCGCGGGCGGCGAGAGGCGAACGACTCCGTAAGCAATTGCGAACAGAGCATTTAAACAAAGAGGAGAAGAAAACGCTTGAACAAATGTGCCAAAATATCCTACGAATTATGGAGAAGGATAATAAAATGTTGACAGTATTAGTAAACCACCTGTATGGATTATATAAGCCAATAAATAATAAGCGCGGATTAATCGACGCCATAGGCGTGGTAGGAAAAACGTT